TCCAGTTATGAAGTCATGTGAAAAATTGGACGTACCGGCAAGGACTGGCACTTTTATCCCGTACTGACGTAGGTCTAGATGATGGTTGGGACGCTTCTTGACCACAGCAGGGTACGGAAGTAGGATCAGTACCTCGGAAAAAACGAAAAGCGTCCGCCCTCACAACGGTCGGCACTCCTATGCACCTGACTTCATTGACCCCTGTAGTATACTAGAGACCGATAGACTAGCCTGCTTTTGTACAAATGCTCAGGGCCCCTTTAATAAGCCGGCCGAACTGAAAGCTCGGCAAGTTTCCCAAAAATGTGATATCATCGGCATCACGGAGACGTGGTTACCCACTGAATGACGGACGCCGAAATTTTGCTACCCTGGCATGTCACTCATTTGGAACGACAGACTGACAAAAGGTGGAGGCGTGAGTCCGTATTACCGAAGCGATTTACAATGTGAGCTCATGAAGGATTCAGGTTCGCTGATTGCTGTTTCGCTTTGGTGCCGTCTGCAGTATAAAGGAAAAGACGACTTGTACCCTTGGTGTACCGTCCCCCTAACTATACATCTGAAACGAACTATCAAATTGGCGATAGCTCTAGTGGCGAGTTTATAAGGAAGATGCTCTCACACCTTAACCATGGGTGGTTTCAATGTGCATTGTTTAGAAACCCATGCGACGAGCGGAGAACAATTTAAAGCCGATCTACAGGAGCTTGTATCCAGTGTTCCGCATTATATTCATGTCACTGAGCCCACTCGATTCTGAACCGGTAATAGGCCATAGGTGCTTAATCTTGTAGCTCACCAACGAAGAATGTATGATTGATGCGCTGGTTGTAGACTGCCCGTTAGGTCGTAGTGATCATGCAGTTATCATTTTCAAGTTAATCTGCTACGCACTATACCGAGATGCATGCCATGAGACGTGAAGGACCATCACACGCTCAGCTCATCAGTGCTACAACCTGGTCGTTCCTCGCCGAAGACGCTCTAGATGTCACTTGGCTCGAATTCATAAACAAATTCAATTGCCTGGTCACAGATGCTTCAAAGACAAAGCTTTCAAACTGTCTAAAACAGTTAGTTAAGTAAGGAGCAGAACTCAACAATTGCTGGCAGTACGCAACGCAGCGTGACGAGAGCATAGATGATCCACAACACCAGATAGTTGGGATAACTACGTAGCCAAACGAAACCACTGCACTCAACTACTCAGAGAGGACATAGCTGCGCATCAGAGAACATAGCAAAAATCTTCAGTGCTAATCACAAGCTGCTGTATAAGCACGTCAATTGTCCAAGGAAGGTGAGTGCAAGGAGTTCCGCCACTCACAACGGATGATGGCCCAACACGACCGGCTACGGAAGCAGCAAATGCGCCATGTCCCTACATTCCAGAGGTTATTACCATTAGGAGATCCTCCAGCTTTTATCCCCCGCCGTCGGGACACACACATCTTTAGCACCTATGCTGTCTTGCAGAAGCTGACCACTGTACACCAGCGAAAATCCCCGGGAGCCGATACTATTCGACCAGAAACACTGGGAGTAACAGCAAGTCAACTAGCATAGCCACTGGTTCAGTTCTTCCAGCACTGCTTAGACCAGAACCAAGTTTCTGCGATGTGGAAGCTTGGAATAATAGCACCGATTCACAAAGTTGGAAGAAACAGAACCGTGGCTTCAAACTACCGCCCAGGTTCCCTTCTCCTTTTGTTGTCCAAGGTGATGGAATCCATCAAAGTCGATGCGCTGGTGGGCTATATGGAAAAATCCAACATTATTATTTCTGAGTAGTACGGCTTACGTCGAAATCGGTCGTGCAAAATGAAGTTGCTAATAGCACGGAGTAGCTGGACCCAGTCTGCTGTCGCTGGAGAGGATGTTGATGTGATCTAGCTGGCTTTCTGGAAAGCATGCGCCCGTCTAGACCATCGGATACTACTTTTCAAGCAATAGTGTTATGGGATTGGTGACTCTTTTCTAGGCTGTTTCGCTAACTGTCTCCTTCAGCGGCAATTAGTGGTCAAATTTCGGAGCTCTTTCTCTGACCCCATACAAGTTGCATGTGGTGTGCAGCAAGGCTCGGTGCTAGTGCAGCTACAGAAGAGCAAATTGTGAGCTTTAGAACGACTCTTGGCTGGTCAGCATCGGATATAGCGTAGCGGAGATACGGATGGAAACATGGAGGGGTTGTTACGAAGCTTAACCTCGTAGGTGCCTGGAAAGGCCCGTCACACAAAGCCTCATCCACGTTGCGTCCTGGGAAGAAAACACAATGAAAATCTGTACGGGTTACTGAGTTGTCAGCGGCAGGTTCTTGTGACAATACACGCTCTGTCCCCCCGTTTCGTTTTCGCTTGACTGGTGCCGTGACTATACAGGATGAAACTGACCTAGCCAGTGTTATTCGCGCACGGAGAGATGGAGTCCTGACTGGGTCAAAGTGACATGAATTTGTTAACTGCTTTGGGCACCTTGTTGGATGGAATAGCAAAGACGGTGTATGTGCTCATTCGGAAGGCCAATTCCTGCTGTTCGTTCGATGAGATGATGGCGGCAATGTGTGCAGAATTTGGGAAGGAAGATGAAAGACAGCGAGCAATGGAGCAATTTCACTCAACCAGATGGGAAAAATAGGACGATTTTGTGGGGGTTTTTTCAGCAGCTGGACAAACATTCGGTGATTGGGCTCCCCGAGTTGAAAGGTAACGCAAGAGAATGGCTACCCAAGCAGCAATTTGTACGAAGCCTGCCGGACCCACTTCATGGAAAGGCAAAGTTGGCAGCGATGGTTGGAGAGAGCAAGGCAGAGGATCCGGTGACGGTTGCCCAGAATTTTTCGGAGCGAGTGACGATGAGCAGAGTCCATCATTCGGAGTTGGAGCACAGTTGCAGTAAACCAACTGTCCGGAATGGTGGACAAGCTGTTGTCGAGGGAGACTCCGGGAGCGATTTCACAACGTAATGAGCATGGAAGACGGAACGGTCGCCGCGGTTTCCGACGCAATCAGGGAAATCATATGGCTAGATCCTGCACCAACTGCAATTTGTACCATTGTATCGCTTTCTCGTGGTCGACTAGGTGGCGGGTACAGGTCGTCAGGGTGACTATTGAAGGTGTGTCCGTCCAGGCCATAGTGGACACGGAAGCGGGAGTGTCCATTACGAAAAGGTTCGAATGAGGTCCAGTCACTCAATCCTAGATCGTGATGTAGACCGTCGTTGGACATCTTTTGACGGTGAGGGGAACACAGCGGTTGCGAATCAGGATAGGGTCAACACTTATCAGCCACGCTATGCTTTTGGTGGAGGAAACCATGGAAACAATCATCCACCACGACATCCTCAAACGGCTCGGTGCCACGATTCATCTGAGTGACGATTTGGTAATCATAAGCAACGAGACGATTGAGATGAACACCGGGACAGCCGATCGAGCAAATGTCGTCGTGCGCCTGTCTGACTGTCAGAATTCTGACATACCGACTGTACTGAGTAGGTATACCCACCTATTCACAAACGCAGATGATGATTACGGATTCTGCAGCTTGATGGAACATCAAATACCATTAATCCCTGAAGGGCAGTGCAAGCCGATCTACAAGAGAATACCGCAGCATACGCTGCAGGAAGTACACAGACAGGTAGCAAAGATAAAAGCGATAGGAATCCTCAGACGAACGCACAGTCCGTATTCAGCACAAATGCCACTGATGAAAAACGCTGACGGTACGTATAGATTTTGTACTGATTTCAGAGAACTTAACAGAGCGACGTTGGTGGATGCGTTTCCAATGCCCCAGAAAGAAGAAATTTTCGCCAGCCTTCACAGTCAAGCGGATTTCTTTGATAGATCTCAGAGCGAGATATTGGCAAATGTCCAACTCGGAGGAAGATCCCAATAAGACGGCTTTCAGTGTGAGTTCCTCAGAATGACGTTTGGATTAGTTAACGCCCCAGCTGCATTCAGATGTCTATCGTTGATGGTCTTGGAGAACCTATAAGGCGTGGTTGTTTACGGGGATGATATCAATGTCTTCTCCGAGACAGAGCACGAATATGGTACCAGGCTTATAACAACACTACAAAGACTGGAAGAAGTCGGTTTGAACCTCAGTCGCAAGAAGTTACAGATTGCTCTTGAGTCGATTGTATGTCTGGGAAACATTGTGGGCAATGGTCAAGCACATCCGCTTCCGGAGAAACGCGAGGCGATCAAGTTTTGCAATGAAAAATCCAAGCCTCAACTCCGTTCGTATTTGGGACTTGGAGCTCATGATTCGAAGTTTGTGAGTCATTTTGCAAACAGGATCAACCCGTTGTCAAAGCTGCTTCACAAAGATGAACCGTTCGTGTGGACAGCCGAAACGGACCAAGCCTTTAATTAGTTATATGCTTGCGCAGCAGAAACCCAAATATGTCTACAACGACCCAATCTTGATGAGAGATTCACTGTTGCAGTCGACGCAATCAACGTGGCAATCGGTGCGATATTATCCCAACCAGCTGGCGTGGTGGAATATGCGAGCAGAGTACTGAAAGTGGCGGAGCAAAAGTACTCCACGTAATAGGAAGTACCTCTGGCTATCGTGTAGGCCCTGGGTAAGCGGAGAAGTTATTTCCTAGCGACTGAATTCCGGGTCATCACTGATCATAAGCCGCTTTCATGGTTGGTGATAGCGGAAGACCCACCGTGACGCCTTGCGTCATGGGCATAGGGATTGCAAGAATTCAACTTCACTATTGAGCACGTAGATGGGACACAGCACATACTACCCCAAAGGTTGTCACGCACTTCGTTGGACGACCTTCTGCCGGACAACGCTATACCCGTGTGCGCGGTCACAGTGGAGGAGAGGAAGCTGCTGGGCGATCAAAGAACCGATTAATTCGTGAAGCTACTGTGCTCTCACTTACAGGCTGGCAGCAAGCCGGAGGCCACATCAGGAGATGAAGAAGAACTCCTTAGGATCTGGAACAGACCGGGGTCGGAAAGGATTATGTGCTTGTTGCGACAGACGGACAGAATGGGGGGGGGGGGGGGGGGGGGGGGGGGGGGGGGGGGGGGGGGGGGGGGGGGGGGGGGGGGGGGGGGGGGGGGGGGGGGGGGGGGGGGGTGGGGGGGGGGGGGGGGGGGGGGGGGGGGGGGGGGGGGGGGGGGGGGGTGGGGGGGGGGGGGGGGGGGGGGGGGGGGGGGGGGGGGGGGGGGGGGGGGGGGGGGGGGGGGGGGGGGGGGGGGGGGGGGGGGGGGGGGGGGGGGGGGGTATGGTGGGGGGGGTGGGTGGGGGGGTGTGGGGGGTGGGGGGGGGGGGGGGGGGGGGGTGGGGGGGGGGGGGGGGGGGGGGGGGGGGGGGGGGGGGGGGGGGGGGGGGGGGGGGGGGGGGGGGGGGGGGGGGGGGGTGGGGGGGGGGGGGGGGGGGGGGGGGGGGGGGGGGGGGGGGGGGGGGGGGGGGGGGGGGGGGGGGGTGGGGGGGGGGGGGGGGGGGTGGGGGGGGGGGGGGGGTGGGGGGGGGGGGGGGGGGGGGGGGGGGGGGGGGGGGGGGGGGGGGGGGGGGGGGGGGGGGGGGGGGGGGGGGGGGGGGGGGGGGGGGGGGGGTGGGGGGGGGGGGGGGGGGGGTGGGTGGGGGGGGGGGGGGGGGGGGGGGTGGGGGGGGGGGGAGGGGGTGGGGTGGGGTGGGGTGGGGGGGGTATGATGGGTGGGTGTTAAATTTTGGGGAATTTTGGTGTGTGGTTTGGTTAGATTTTGAGAATAGGATGGGGTGGGGGTATGATTTGGGGGGGGGAAAGTAATGTGGGATTATGGAAGATGTAGTGTGGTTCGAATGATACTCGACCAGTTCACGCGCTAGATGGAGGCCATACCAAGCAAAGATTAGACAGGCGAGACCGTGTCACAGGCATTCGAATTCAGTGTGCTAGCACGGCATAGAATACCGTAATGGGTTATCACAAACCAAGGGCCCTGCTTCGAGTCGAAAGCATTTAAGGTGATTTTGGACAAGTGGGGCATCCGGAGGCGACGCACTTCACCGTAACACCCACAGGCTAACAGAGTGACAGAACGGTGCAATTGGACCAGGAAATGGTGGCTAAGCTGCACGAAGTTGGCATGGGAAGAAGCATTGCCTAAAGTTCTGTTTGCGTAGCGGAGCAGAATGCAGTCCACCAGCAAGGTTTCGCCATCTGAATTACATTTTGGCCGAGAATGGCGGACTATGCTCGATATCTGCATAGGGAAACCGAGTGAGCGAAAACATCCGGTACCGTCTCACGAATGACTGCAAGCGATTGTTAGAAAAGTAACCAAAGCCTGACAAGCAAGCAATAAGAGGAACTACGACGCCAGACATGATGCTCCCAAGTGGACGCCGTGCAGGACTGGTGAACAAGTCAAGGTACGGAACTATGACCGGCCAAATAATGAAGGGCCAAGTGCGAGCAAGCTCAGGGAACACTGGAAAGGCCCTGTACACCATACTCGATGGGAAAGGAGCAAACTTCCAAATCGATAGCGGAGGAACGAAGCGAAAGGTGAACGCCACCCTTCTACGACCATGGTACAAGAGAGAAAAACAACTTTGAGAGGGGGCGCGTGTTAGGCGGCGGAAGCTAGTGACTACTCGTGAATTGGAACGATAACAAAAACGGGATAATAGAGAATTAACAACAGGCGCAATATATGCGAAAAGACAAGGCTCTGCGAGCGTGGCGGATCGAGTTGACAGCAGTTTAAGGGCGACATCTGGTAACGAGCCTGGGCCCAGAACAACAGAGGAGATGTCTGTCGAGAACGCAATGAATCAGACAAATACGCCACTAGCGAAACTCACAGGAGTAAACGCGGGTCGAGTGATGCAGCCACGGGAGAGCAAATCGAGAGCTTTCGAATGACTACTTGTTCGCCAGAATCGGATATAGCGAAGCGGAGATACGGGATGAAAACCTGGGAGATTGTTGTGTGTTGTATGCTGAAAAAGCAGCGGACCAGAGTAGCACCGGAACGCATGCATGGAGGAAACTGTCCACACACACGCGCAGTACAATTAAATCAAATACGAGATCACATGATAGGCCAATGAGCGCTAAATAGAAGTGTGAGTAGCAGAAGCGCATCGAGGGCAACAGTAAAGCAAAGTATTTGAAGACGACATTGTCCCCTCCTCTGTTCGTAAAAATATAGGCACTATATGTGCATGCACGAACTAATTTAATGTCAGCACCCCGAAGAATTGTCATATGGTGTTATCCGTTAAGGCGCATCTGTAGACAGGGCGGCGTATCCGACCGGAACCTCGTAAGTTTGTATTAGTCTGTACCGAGTGCTGTGTTGTAGGTGTGTTCGTCTGTTCAATAGCAGATTGGGAACGCACTGTATGCAGTCGTTTTGCATTTACCTTTGTCCCATCATCCAACTTGTAAGTTCCTGGCGTGCACACAGATTTTAAACGGATCGGCCGTCCGAACACACTACCTCCTTTTCGGGAATTGGGTAGTCTCACACGAACAAATGTCCCTGGAGTATACGTTTTCCCAATGCGTCTATATTTAGCCTTGTAAACAGCCCGTCATTCGTATTTTCTGTGATCGGCGGTTTCTTCGGATGTAAAGACTGCGTTTAATCGAGATTGAATTGTTCGCCCCAGCATTAGCTCCAAGGGGGTTCTTGCCGTTGCAGTATGTGGAGTGGTTCTGTATACTTTCAATGCAGATACCAACGCATCATCCCGGGATTCTCCCGAAAGAATCCCAAGATTTGTAGAGATTCTTTCAAAGTATGATTAAGTCGTTCGACGAGTCCATTCGCTGCAGGATTACAAGGTACAGTCCTCGTGTGTCTGATACCATTGCGCCTTAGGAATTCAGCATACTCGTTACTTCGAAACTGTGGGCCGTTATCAGTGACTATTACTTCTGGCAAACCTTACTTTGTAAACAAACAACGGTGCCACTTTATGAAGACGGCTGTAGTTACATCCCCGCATAGAATAGCCTCTAGCCATTTGATGTAGAAATATGTAGCCACTAACACGTTTCGCTTCTGCGGGATTGCATTAACAAACGGGCCCATAATATCGATGGAAATTTTTGCCCATGGCTTTATTGCATACACAATAGGTTGGACTGGAGCCTTCAGGGGCCTCGCACTCTCATCGGATCGTTGGCAGGCGCAACATTCCCGAAGAACCGCCTCGACGCTGGAATGCTACTTCGGGTAACAATACTATTGTCGTATCCGACCTTATAATCGCACAATACTTGGATGACTTTCATGTGTACAAACAATCACCAGAGAAATAAGGGTTGCAGGGACCACAAACTGCTCACCTCTAATAATGCAGTTGCTCACAGTAAAAAGCTCGTGCCGTGGGGTATAGTATGGAAGTAACTTAGGTTGGATCATGGTACGACTGGGCCATGAAGTGGCTATGTACTCCCGAGGCTTCACCAGGACAGGGGCTTTGTCAGTGTGCTCTCGTATCAGGTCAAATGTTATCCTAAGTGTTCCGTCTGAGGGCTACGATATCAATTTTACCTACGCTAAGTCCCCGATGTCCTCTTCCTTAGACAGTGGGAGTCTCGACAGGGCATCCTCAAGTTGGTTAAAGCACCCTGGCACGTATTTCATTTCATAATCATAGTTCAATAAGCGTGAGTACCAGCGACTCAAGTGTACCGGCTTTTGGCCTTGTTTACCGTGACTCAGTAGCGTTGTAAGAGCCGAATGATCGGTGCGCAAAGTGAATCAACGTCCGAATAAGTGAAAGTGTCATTTCGCACCCGCCCAGACGCATGCGAGGTGCCTCCTTTTCGCCAGTGAAATAATTTCTTCCAATATCAGGCAAGGTAGTTGATGCGTACGTAATCACAGAACTGCATCCAAACCAACATCTGAAGCATCTTTTGAAACCAACGTTGGACAGTGTTCATTGAAGGCTGCCACCGTGGGAGTGGATTCAGTCATCGCTCGTATGGTCATATAAGCACTGTCTCGTTCAGTGGCCCAACGAAACTCCTGGTATTGGCTCGTCAACCTCCGCAACAGATCGGCGGTAGTCGCAAACTTCGGTAAATTTCGAAGGTAATAAGAACACAAACCCAAGAAATGGTTCATTTGTGTAACGTTGCATGGTTTTGAACAATAGAGAACGGCTCTGGTGTTCTGCACATTAGGCTTAATACCCGAGATATAAATAACATGCGCAATAAACTCGACCTCCGTTACAACAAATTGGCATTTGTTGGTATTCAGGCACAGATTTAGTTCATTCAGTCTATGCAGCACATTATGAAGTTTTTACTGATGTTCGGTGGGGTTACTACCAAAGACAGAAATGCCATCCATATACACAACACATTCTTTGAGATCTGATAAGGATAGAAGAATAAATTTCTGCCAAACTGTTGGGACACTACTAAGGCTCATTGGTAGCACTTCATATTGTTACAAACCGCCTTGCATGAGGAAATCAGTCAAATGGCGGCAATCTGGAGTCAGTGGCATGTGGTAGTATGCACTGGGAATATCCAGCGTTGAGAAAAGTTTGGCCTTTGACAGCTTAACCATCAACACCTCGGTAAAAGCCAGTGGGAAGTTGTCCACAAGTATATGTCGATTAAGCGCTCGAAGGTCGATGCATACACGAATAGAGCCATCTTTCTTTTGAACGGCAACTAGTAGAGGAACCCACTCAGAACACTGTATGGGTACTATCAGGTCTTCTGTGACCATATTTTTCAAAGCTTGCGACAACATTTCTCGCTTGGCCAAAGTTACAGGTCTAGGTTTGTAATCCGCGCTCAACCGAATACGGTGCATTGCTTTTGGGACTCTACCAATATCCCTAAGAAAGAGATAAGGGTAACGTGAACGTAACGAATGAAGGTTGACACTGACAATGGACATTCGGCTGACGCATGGTGATATGTTCAATAAGACTATGGTATTACGTCCCAATAGAGGTATACTATCAGTTTTGGAGACGCAAACTTCAACTATACCCTTTCTGCTGTGTACAAGAGACATTGGAGCAGTTGCTGAATGTGTAAGCGGAAGGATGCATAGTTAGCTGACCAAAATGCTGTTTGTAAAAACAATATGGTACAACTGTGCTTGGTGACGCGGAATCTAGTTCCATGTCTAGACAAATGGTTTTGTTTCTAACTTCAAAATCCAAACAAATATCGCGAAGGCAGTTAGGGTTCTTGAGTTGCAGACGAAAGTGGATGTTCGCATTCATTAACAACATATATAAATTGTTTAGTGGTTGCCAGAGTAGCTCTGGAGTCATCAGCAGAATCACCCAAAGAAATGGCGCGCGAACGACAAACCCGACCAAATTGACCGGTCTAACCGCAATTTCGGCAGGTTTCACTCTTTGCAGGACATGACTTGTCATTTGCACGATGTTCAGTATTTCCACAACGGTAACACTTATTTAGAACTGAGGATCGCGTCAGAGAGCGTGTAGAATCCAAACGGTCAAGTTCACTAGCTCCTGTGTTAGAGAGGAAAACGCATTTCGATAGAAACGATATCTCCACACATAAGCACACCATCATGCACCTCAGGCTGACTATGCGATGCAGCAACCTGATTGCTACCGCGAGAATTCGTCGTTTCAGAAATTTAAAGCAGTTAATTCCCTTCAAAAATTTGAAAACCACAGAAAGTAGAGGAAGGCTGGTAGATGCA